CATCTCCATGGTGACAGAATCAACCCACGTTTTCAGTATGAATCTGTAATAACTTGTTGCATCTCCATGGTGACAGAATCAACCCACGTCTTCAGTATGAATGTGTAATAACTTGATGCATCTCCATGGTGACAGACTCAACCAACGTTTTCAGTATGAATCTGTAATAACTTGATGCATCTCCATGGTGACAGACTCGACCCACGTCTTCAGTATGAATGTGTAATAACTTGATGCATCTCCATGGTGACAGACTCGACCCACGTCTTCAGTATGAATCTGTAATAACTTGATGCATCTCCATGGTGACAGAATCAACCCACGTTTTCAGTATGAATCTGTAATAACTTGTTGCATCTCCATGGTGACAGACTCGACCCACGTTTTTAGTATGAATGTGTAATAACTTGATGCATCTCCATGGTGACAGAATCAACCCACGTTTTCAGTATGAATCTGTAATAACTTGATGCATCTCCATGGTGACAGACTCGACCCACGTCTTCAGTATGAATGTGTAATAACTTGATGCATCTCCATGGTGACAGAATCAACCCACGTTTTCAGTATGAATCTGTAATAACTTGATGCATCTCCATGGTGACAGACTCGACCCACGTTTTCAGTATGAATGTGTAATAACTTGATGCATCTCTATGGTGACAGACTCGACCCACGTCTTCAGTATGAATGTGTAATAACTTGATGCATCTCCATGGTGACAGACTCGACCCACGTCTTCAGTATGAATGTGTAATAACTTGATGCATCTCCATGGTGACAGACTCAACCCACGTCTTCAGTATGAATGTGTAATAACTTGATGCATCTCCATGGTGACAGACTCAACCCACGTCTTCAGTATGAATGTGTAATAACTTGATGCATCTCCATGGTCGCACCACCCGTCAAGGTGTAGAACAGTGTTCAGTCACCTCATTAACCAAACCAAAACTATTTTACACTTAAGGACTTATTGTGTTGGTCAAATGTTGGACAGCACTGAAAGTTGTCTCCATACGGATGTTGACTGTGTGGCAGATCCCCTTCCGTCAAGGACACGGGCACATTATGCACCATCACGCAGGAGCGTGTCCCCGAGGGCTGAACCAGGCCTACATTGACACAATAACACCCGTGTCTGAGTTCATTATACCAGCAACAGACTGCTTGGATTTTGCATCTCCACTTTATATTTTTAGTTTCAGTTACAATATTCTCCACACAAAAAGGTCACAAGTGCATGATGAAATGTTTCGTAGTGAATATTCATGGAACAGGAAAGTGTCCTCAAACTTCCTCTTAGGCCACTTTCAAGTGTTCAACTGCTACATGCTTTAGTAATGATTCATAACCTGTCTTGACCTTGTGACATCAACAGTCAAGTTGTCCTTATCATCCACATTATCAGTAAAGCGTTATAGTCTGTTTGACTTCATTTTAGACCAATGAATTACTCTCTAACACAAAATCTAATAATTGCAACAAAACCAGACCAACCCTGATTATTTGTCTCATCATTTTGGACACCCGAATAGAAAAGTTGTTTAACAAACAATCATTATTTTGTTGTCACTTTTCACTGTTTCTTACGAGGGAGGATCAATTGCTGGTAGAACAGCCAGGTAATCAACAAGCGCGTGCAGTGAAATTACAATTTCACACGTCAACTCGCACACCTTGCTGTCTACCAGCAAGTGGTCCCCCCTCCTAAGAAACAGTGAAACGTGACAACAAAATAATGATAATTTGTTTAACAAATTTTTATATTCGGGTGCCCAAAATGATGAGACAAATCATCAGAGTTGGTCATCTGTCGATTTCACGTGACTGTGCAAAGTTGATTTGTTGCAATTATTAGATTTTGTCAACTCATCCATCTACATTGAAGTCAAACGGACTATACCATGGTTACCTTCCACACTTTTCTGTAACAAAATCACCCGACAAATCATTAAATACATGACACTCTTGCACACACATTGAATTTGACATTAAACATCTAAAGCCTCGAGGTATTGTTAGTTCACTTCACGTCATTGAAGTTCATTCCTTTCTGCTCAGCATTCTTCAGATAATAGAAACAGCATCGGGAACATTCGGAAGTGTCCTTCGACTTAAGTATAGAGACACTATACCGTCTAATTGTCTTTGAGTACATTCAGTTCCATAATGTCATAAGCATGATTAGGTAAATTTGTAAGTTTAACAGTGTGGCTTGACATTCACGCTATCCCACTGGCCCGGGTCTAGTAAAATGTTGACAGGACCAGCGTAACTTTGATAAGTGCTATCCCGATGGTCTAGTAGATATTTAATATATAATATCATTTTACATTTAGTATATATTCAGAGACTAAACATAGTCTACTCATTTAGTTAACTTTCAGGCTTACAATGAGGGCCCTAATGGGGTGTCTCAAGTCAGCATTTTGTCAAATTTGGGGCCATTAGTCAGTAGACTGTAGATTTTCGGCAAGCTCGGTACAAATCTAGTAAACAGTTTCTGTAAAATATCTAGTCAGTAAATATGTCCCAAACCAAAATCTGTAAGCTAACGGAAAAGGTCAGTCTGTCACACAAGCATGGAGGCAGCTGGTTCTGCTTTCGTTTCATAACTATAATATATATTACATGTTGCAAATACTACCTGATTGATGTTGTTGTTACATCAGATACAATCATACATGACTTTTATGAGATTTTTACTATTTTAGCTCAATAATGATAAATACAGTTCGACTGAGCAGACATATATTAACATTTACGTTAATATTTGACAATAACTGTTGGACTCATCTTATGTTTACAACATTCACTTCAACTACTTTACAGTTGAGAGGAAACCTCTAGGGCATCTTGAACAATCAGAAGGTAACGAGTTCATGTCTGACAGATCCTCACAATGACTGGTTGTCTGTCTCGGTCATGTGACATACAGTACAGATTGTCCTCAGCACTGCTTGTAGTGGCTTTATTTTGAAGGGTTCATGGCCCAAATGTAGACAAACAGGACTCTCTAATCTGAAATTACTGGGTACGGGACTGGCTTACCTTAGAGAGGGTTGAGTGATCACAATGTGTGTACACTATGGGACTGACAAATAGCACTGATTATTGCAGTAGAGAGGATACTCCTTATTGTGGACACGTGGAAACTGGGTACAACAAATTAAAAAAACAAGATTTTTTAAAATTATGTTAGTAAATTTGCAAACAATTCCCTAACTCTCTGGAATCTTTATTTAATAAAATTCATCACATTTGTTTTTAAACACACTTGCATATTTTTTATAAAATCACATATTTATGCAAAATCAGGCACCAGTTTTGAAAGAAAAGAGGGGAAGCCAGTTTAAAATTTTAATAACTGAAGCATCAACTCCTTCTAAATTCAACATTTATGAAAAACAAGAGTAAGTGAGCACAGGTCACATATGGTCGCCCCCAACATTGGGGAGTACATACTGTTGGAATAGCAAAATGTTTCGCTGTCGAAGAAATAAGTTTAGGGTCAGGAAGTTTGTGATGGGGGTCAATCGGGAAACAGTAAAAACACATATTTTTGTTTTGGCCCAAATCAAGGTGTTCATAAAAAAACACATAAAATGTTATTTGTTGTGCCATTAATAAACAGTATATAGTGTATTACGTATTACAGATACAAGAAGTTATAATACATAACCTGAGTGTTACCCTCATCGCGTGTATCTACAGAGTCGTGCAAAAAGTATTCGACACTGGACATAATTTCCATAGACTTACATGTTAATTTAGTGTAGCAACTGCTCCGTGGTGTAGCGGTTAGAGCGTCCGCCCCGAGAGCGGAAGGTCGCGGGTTCGATCCCCGACCACATCATACCAAAAGACTTTAAAATATGGTACTTGTTGGTCCCTGCCTGGCGCTCGGCATTAATGGATACAACAAGGACTGGTTGGCTCGGAGTCAGTATAATGTGTCTGAGTGGGGTATTCATGCTTCACTGCGACATGGTATCTCAGTGGGCTAGCACTATAATACCAGCTTCAGTCTGGGCTAGTACAAGCAGCCGCACATACAGACGCATGCACGTCGTCATATGAGTGAAATATTCTCAAGCACGACGTTAAACCCAATTTCACCTCACCCCATTTAGTGTAGCATAATTTTCATGAATTTAATTTTCGTAAGATCAAAGTCAAATCTTGCACATTTGTCAAGAATCATCTTACCTACAATCACATAATTTCTGTTGCTTATTTAACGAATGGCAACAATTCAATCAACAAATGTACAGTGACATGAACTCCTCTAACATGGCGGCCTATGGCATTGTGCATTGTGGAACCATACACAAGTTGATAAATTTATGTGATGTCATTAGTTAAAAAGTCGTTGGAAAATTGAACTGAAATTATGTGTGCAGCCCAGAGATGATTTCAAATTTTTAAATGTTTCAGGCCAAAGTATGAGAGCGTATCTAATCAGTTGTGCCAGAAGTAGCCACCCGTTGGATCATGACTTTACGTTAAAGCATGATGTAGGCCCGTTGGAAGTTTCGTAAGTCCCGCTGCTGAAATAGACTGCAGTGATTGCGTGAGATCAGCTGTGCGGAGGTCAAGAAATTTGGTACACCTGACCCTTCGACCTTGGATTTCTGTTTTGACTACACACATGGGTCTGCAGCGATCAATGCAGATAGCTCCGAGTGACCACTTGTCTCTAGCACTTTTGAAACTCGATAACTTTGCAAAAATATCAGTTATAAAACCAATGTCTTGCTTATGCAACATCGGAACTGAAGAAATTCGCATCTGTTTTCACCAACAAAAATATTGATGTGAAGTCTGTTATTATCAATCAAAGTTAACGGTCCTGGAAACACAAAACCGATTTTAATTTTCCATAGACATCCCATTGACCAAAAATAACTTGATGCCAATGAAATTGACACCAAGAGTACGATATTCGACTTTGCCCCACGCAAGAATGAGATCGTGTCTTCAGTGTAATGTCTTACCGTGGCCGTTCATTCGAGACGCTCCCTGGTCGATCATGTCCTTGTTTACTGTTCCTTTCTGACCACTGTCATGATCTGACTGCTGATTGTCGTCTGCACCAGATATCCCTGCCATCAGTCACAATATTCACCTGCCTTTCCTAACACGTGTGTGGTACTGGAAGTCCTGAAGGTCGTCATTCCATATATGGAATATAAAGTAATACACTTTTCCTTACGACTACTAATGCCCAACACCACTACAATGAGCAGTCTGTTGGTTGTTGTTGGTCGTCGTCGTTTGCCTCAAGCCATTCGCTGTGATATTCATAACACGGTTTATCGTTCAAATATCATTGTCATGTGTGTATCGATTTCTTGGATATGTTGATATCATTAGCTATTTTAAAAAATATCCAACATATCACGTTCGTTCCACATTTTCTATAAATAGATAACATATTTCCCATCAAACTGACAGCTATTCCTTATTTCACATTTAAAAATTCCTCAATTTAAGGCCGACTTTCAGAGAATGAAGCTAAATAAAAACCGTGTCATTTGGGGGGGGAAATGACTTGGTTATAATCCATGAATCATTCCTCTGTCCGAGGATAATTTTCTTTCACCAAGTTGCACCAATCTTCCAGAGGTAAGGGTGTCACTTAGCCTACATCAATGATAACGGCATAGAACACTAGACATCGATGTATAGCCGTCTTCACTCGGACTTCATCGAAGAGTCTTGTGCCTTACTAGAATCAACATCTGTTGAACATTTCAGTAAGGCGGTTCCATATGTTGGAGAAAAAGTGTGTTACTACCGACAATTCACCTGTAGTATGACGTGTCAAAACACATAGAGTTTATTATTTTATCATCTCATATTGAAAATTTAAGCAAGTGCCTTGTCAATTCTTACCAGTCATATGCTTACCCGAACCGTTGTCGACTTTCCGACAGAGGTTCAGAGACCACTGTAATATGTCGTCATGAAAGTAATATCGCACCTGCCGTATTCTCGTAACTCACGAGCCCTCACTTTGGTTCTCACGTAACGTGTCGATGTGATGTAAACATACTGCACTCGCTGAATTGCACACAATAGAAGACCCACTTCAATCGCATTAGTAAACTAATCCATCAGATACAGATATCTATATATTATGTTTTAATGCCTGTCGTGGAGGCTATAAAACTCCAAAACGATCGAACAAGGCGATCACGTGCGAGTTATAATTTTAGATTCACATGCTTTATGCAAATGACTTGAAGTGTAATTCTGTCTTCAAGAGATACATCAATCATGCCGACCCGACTTGAGACGGGAGAAATTATTGTGCGATATGTTTAAAAAGACCTACATGTCATTTAATATGACCCACCTCTGCCAAACAAGAGGCAAATTGTTTCGAGAAATATTTCAAACAATGTTTACAATGTCAAAGCTTTTGGGAATGGGAATCATAGGAAAAGCTACATCTGGTTACAGAGCACTTTTTAACTTATTTACGGTATATTTCAATGTTGAAACTGCCAACATTTAAACTATATTAATATTCATAGATTATGATACATGCACTCGACTAGACTTGCACAAGTATTGAGGTAATAAATAATAGTATAAAATTTTCTAAAAAAGAATGGATAAATAGAGCACATTGTTCTTCTAAAAGACTGGCGTCCTGAGGCTGTTAGCGTGTCTAGACATGCCTCTTTGAAAAATGCAATGTACTATGTACATCCATGGACTTATATAGCATTCAGTACAACCAGAGACGGTATAAGATGATAATTATATGGTCTCTAGTACAAACTTAAGAGCAAGGATATATACCACTCGACACGTGCCTTTTTTCAAACAACCGCTGTAAAGCAGTATGCTTATCATTTACGGTTGTGCAACATCTCAGGAGAGTTTACTTCTCCATTATTTCTTCAGTAGTCAAATATTGGTTACTGCGTGTGCTCGTTTCCCATTTAACACAGTCAAATACATCTCATACAACAGAATGACAGCTCCGATCAAGGAAACGGCACAATGCGGGATTGACATATCCTAGGCAACGTTTCTGTATTTGGATTTTAGCTAGGGGGCGTTTCTGTATGTATGGTACATACGTATCTGTACTTCCCGTAGCAGTATTAGTGTTAGGCAGTCAGGCGCGTAGCAAGCCAATTGTTTCGTGTAAGCCCGATAGGTTGCAAAATTTTATATTAGATAGTATTGAGGGCTTGCCCAACAATTGTAGCAACAGTCATGTGAAAGCCCGGGAGTTTTATATAATTTTTTTTTATAAGGGTATCATTTAAAAAAAAATATGTTTCACGTAGCCACCAAATTCTAAACATAGGTTTTTTGGGGGGTTGGTACAGCAATCTAAAGATTATGGTAGGTTGGTATACAAAGTAAATACTTTTACATCTGAGTATATACAGTATATACCAAACTGTCAGGTGTCCCAACATAGTTCGGTAAACTTCGCTCTCACTTTTGGCAAATTCAGATGTTTTATGGCCGCTACACTGGAGTACGCTCAGTCTCTGAATGTATAGAATTTTGATTGTAACAAATAATCCCATTTCAATTGAAAAGGAGCCCCAGTGAGATGGGAGATTCAGAACCTGAGGAAATCTAGACTTGGTTCATTATATGACAGGCTTTAGCACTGCAGAGAGGACTGGACAGAAGGGGAAATAATGTGGTTCAGGGACTGTGAGAGAGACTAGGCGAAAGGAAGCAGGTGGCAAGAACAGTGTTATTTTGTCTTGCATGCACCTATCATGTATACATATGTATGTATGTATGTATGTATGTATGTATGTATGTATGTATGTATGTATGTATGTATGTATGTATGTATGTGTGTATATATATGTATGTATGTATGTATGTATGTATGTGTATATATATATATATATATATATATATATGTATGTATATATGTATGTGTATGTATGTGTGTGTGTGTATATATATATATGTATATGCATGCGTTTTTCGGAAGCCATGTCAACGAGTTAATTTTCGCGCCTTTGTTCCACAACGGTGTTTGCCAGCTCATATGAGTTACTTCCCTTTGCCAATACATCGTGTGTCGGAAGCCATGATAAGCAATGTAAACATACTCAGATATTGGATGAAACTGTCGAAACGTTGTACATTTCATTTTTCAGAGGGGGCCGTGTTGATCACTGGATTGTCTGGTCCAGACTCGATTATTTACAGACCACCGCCATACAGCTGGAATATTGCTGGGTGTGGCGTAAAACTGAACTCACTCACTCACTCGGAGGGGGGCGATGGGGTAGCCCAGTGGTTAAAGCGTTCGCTCATCACGCCGGAGGCCCGGGTTCGATTCCCCACATGAGTACAAGGTGTGAAGCCCATGTCCCCCGCCATGATATTGCCAGAATATTGCTAAAAGCGGCGTAAAACCATACTCACTCAGGATTATCTTTCCATTGATTACAAATCAATTCATCGTTATTTAGCTATTGTAGTATTTGGGCCAAACTGAACATTGTTTTTCATGTTTTGTATTTGTGTAAAAGAAACGCATAACCCAGAAATCTGTTGCGAAAATGTTGTATTTTCAAACATGTATAACTCGTCCACAAATAGACTTTAGTACATGAATCTTTACATCAGTTTAGAAGAAGGTAATGTCTATACAACCAAGTGGATAATTTTAGATAACGGTGACTGAGCGCGATGGTGACGACGTAGCACGGCCCCGACACTAGGGCTCTCAGTCCAATCTCTCTCAACCTGTTCCGTACAGTTTGACCGGATATCCTCTGAAGTCCAGGCACCCTGGCTGCTGTGCTCTTACCCGTGGCAGTACGATCACGCAAATGTAGTACCCAGATGTACCGATCTTGGGCTGCAGTGGTGACTCGAGGTCTGCATGTACGGGGATGGTCATTTGTTATACCTGTTTGGTTGTATCGAGCTGCAAGCTGTGGTATCGTGCCCAGACGCCTGGCAACAGAAGATTGGTAATCTCCAGTGTGCATTCTTTCAATGTCGAAGTTCCGTGTCGCAGCGTCAAGACCTTGCGTGGTGATTTGACCTTGAAACTCCTTCAAGACGAATGGCGATTTCCGAAAGTAATCTGGAATTTTATAGCCAAACAGTGCATGCTCTTTGCTGCACAATTTCAACTGGAAGGTGATTTTGTTGCGTTGTGGCGATGCGTTTTTCATCCTCGTAAGAAATCTCATCAAAATCTAACATTTTCAGGTGAAGTCGATTTTTGACGATTGTTTGAACACAATTGGTAATTAATAGATTTTAAAAAATACAAAACGCCTATGGGATAGTATATTATTGTATAGGTTACAATACAATATTGTCCATATTCCTCAACTCCAAAACCGAAACCGGTTCATGTTATAGTTCCCGTCCCCTGCTGATTACGAGTGATACTCTGCATCGCGAAATATTCGTCACTGTGTATACCCGTCTCTTTATAACGCAACTGAATGCATCTCGTGTGACAGTTCCGATCAGAAAACGCTGCGGAATGGACTCGTCCAAGGGTACGTTTGTGTATGCTTTTCTGGCTAGGAAAGTTTCTGTATACAGAAATAAAGCAACAGTTTATCAAAAAAATATTTTGTAAAGGAGGTCGGGAGATGTCGAAGGGAAACATTATCAGCGAATTCATTTCTGTGTTCATATTGGGTTTAAAACATTTTTCAATCCAACGGAAAGATGGTTTTCCCCCAAATTTCTCGCAGTTAGCCGGTTAATTGCTATACAAGTTATTTATACCGTGACTCCTAAAATCCATTATATGCCACTTCATTAGCGTGCTTAAAACAATCAGTTAATCTGCAATTGTGAAAGCCCGCCATGGAAGGAGTGATTAGGTCTACTCGTTTGAGAACAGAAAGGACGACATCACTGAAGTTGTTGTTGGTGGATTGCTTGACGTCAGGAACGTAGACAGAACTGTTTCTCATGGTGGCCAGGCTGACTGACGTGAATGTCTGTGGTATTAAAGTGATCATCCTCTATAAATAATGAGACGTCAAGAGCCTGACAGGCAGTATACTGTTAAGACTCAATGCGTTTTTTTGAAACCATTCGCACTTTCTTTCAGTTGGTTCTTCCCGCTCTTTTATCTTTGCTTATGTCACTTCCGGTTATTTTCCAATGACGTCATGTGACTACTTCTGATTACGTCATCGTTTGTTCATCCATTGATTTTTAGATTC